TCATCACCTGGGTCGGCGAGGAGGCAACAATGAAGAAGCTGGTGGAGGAGAAGCCTAGCCTATCGAAGGCAAAATCGATTCACGCTGGTATGGCACCTACGACAGCCGAGGTCGAACAAGACCTGGCGAACTACATGTTTTGTGAAGGAGAAGCCTAGACTATCGAAGGCAAAATCGATTCACGCTGGTATGGCACCTACGACAGCCGCGGTCGAACAAGACCTGGAGGACTACATCTTTGTCGTAGGTGCCATACCAGCGTGAATCGATTTTGCCTTCGATAGTCTAGGCTTCTCCTCCACCAGCTTCTTCATTGTTGTCTCCTCGCCGACCCAGGTGATGACGCGCCTGCGATCCACCCCGAGAACTTTCGCCGCTCCGGACTTTCCCACTGGTTGACCATCCTCGCAAAGGACTCGCGTGAATGCGGCTGCTTTCAGTTTAAATCTCATGGGGGAGCTCCCTTTCTTGCCTCCGCTCCTCTCGTTGACGAAGTCAGGCTCGGGGTATTTGCGCTTCTTGTGGTGTGATGGTGTGGGGTCGTTTGCCGCAAGCATCTCGTCGATGGCCTCTCCTGCTGCCAACGGGTCCGCAGGGGCAGCTACCGCGTCCGCAGAGGAAGGACCGCCACCACTAGCCCCTGAGATCGCGGCACCGCCCGTCCTTGATACCTCCGACATGATTGCCAAGCGATTGTGGGTCGGGTGTACTGCTGTTGTAGGCATAACTCGACGGCGGGCAATTACCCATGTTTTCCGCCCGCGGCATTTTGTATTTCGCCGCATTTAATTTCGCCGCTTTTTGGTGTGTGTGTGTGTGTTGTGTTCTTCCTCCAAAACCTAGCATCCATCGGGCTAGCTACTGTGGTTGGCTGACGTGCGCGCGTGTGTGTACGTTGCGTGTGGAGCCTGCAACCGCAGCACAGCTGAGGTGTCCGTGCGTCTGCTTTCGTGCAAGTACCGCACATACTGGAGTTATCGCACAGGGGTGTGCGTTGAAATTCTTGACAATATCGCCTCCAGGGTTTACTCAGGACCGCACATCCTGGAGTCATCGCACAGGGGTGTGCGTTATGCATCAAACCCAAATATTTGATTCAATTTCCGCACAGGGTGTGGAGTCATCGCACGGTCCGGAGTCATCGCACCCCTGTGCGATGGAAATTAAATAGCGAAAATATTTAAGAACCCATCGCACCGGGGNGGTGTACTGCTGTTGTAGGCATAACTCGACGGCGGGCAATTACCCATGTTTTCCGCCCGCGGCATTTTGTATTTCGCCGCATTTAATTTCGCCGCTTTTTGGTGTGTGTGTGTGTGTTGTGTTCTTCCTCCAAAACCTAGCATCCATCGGGCTAGCTACTGTGGTTGGCTGACGTGCGCGCGTGTGTGTACGTTGCGTGTGGAGCCTGCAACCGCAGCACAGCTGAGGTGTCCGTGCGTCTGCTTTCGTGCAAGTACCGCACATACTGGAGTTATCGCACAGGGGTGTGCGTTGAAATTCTTGACAATATCGCCTCCAGGGTTTACTCAGGACCGCACATCCTGGAGTCATCGCACAGGGGTGTGCGTTATGCATCAAACCCAAATATTTGATTCAATTTCCGCACAGGGTGTGGAGTCATCGCACGGTCCGGAGTCATCGCACCCCTGTGCGATGGAAATTAAATAGCGAAAATATTTAAGAACCCATCGCACCGGGGTGCGCTAACCCGCAACCTTACGGTATGTACATCAAACCTATGAACCACAAGATTATTTCTGCACACTTGCTCTCGAGGGTTTACCATGGTCATTAGTCACACCGTCTTGACTATGACACTCTAGGCAAGATGGTTGTGAAGACTCGTAAGATCTTGCGAGGTACGCGACCCGCGCTCAGCGGAGACATGTAGACTACACCCAAGCACCCGACGTGTCAACACGGACATGTGGAGATGGAAATTCGGCCAATAATAGGGTGCATGTATGTCCACAGCAGTAGTGCACATGGGAACTCATGACATCGAACGTACCCAGCCGGGATGCCCTGGTTTCGAGTGGGGTCTCGCTCCTACGGCGCCGCTACTTTGTTGAAACTGAAGAACGTGCCCACAATAAGAGAGTTTTTCCGCTGCGAAATGTTTCTGATTTTGACGCTCTTGGTCGTTCTCACGGTGGTCGCACGGAGTCACAATTCCACTCGTATGGACGAGGAAGTCGTGCAGGACGTTACTGCGGTGTGCGTACAACACACGACATTTTGTTGGGTGGAACAACACTGCGGGAGCAGTATGCCGCAGACAACCATTAGATGGGGATCAGGGTGTACGGTGAGTGTGGCTCGTCCTACACTCAGGTGGCCTGCGGACCTCCTCGCTTACCCCCCTCATACTTTCTCGTAATGCTGTATGTGGTGCAACCACTACTGTCATGAACTGTCCCCTCCTCCTTGCCCGCCTCTCCTTTTCACCGATGACGTGTGTTATGCGTACCACGGCTGTCGTTCGGTTCCCATCTCTCCTTGGTCGGGTCTTCCTCATTTTTGTTCGATCCGCCCGCTCTACGTTACCTGGGTTCCACCCGCTAAGTGTGCAGCATCCCTCCTCCCCGTCTGTAAATATTGTCCCGTGTCCTGCCTGTCGGTGGCAAGCCTTTGCATCGAGAAGAATCAGCCGCACTGCCACTACCCGTTGAAGCCGTTGCTGAAGCGGGCAGCAGCAAAGCCAACGGCGGCGCGACGGCTGTCCTCCTCGTCCTCTTCGTCTTCCGACTGCTCCATTTCCTCGGGAGATGCCAGTAAGGCCAAGCGGCTGGCCGAAGCTCCCGAAGTTGCTTCGTATGGTACGGGGGGCGTGCTAGCGACCGTCGACACCCGGAGCATGCCGACTGTGCGGGGTCGCATGTCTCTCAAGAGGTGCAACTTAACGTTACATGTCCACACTCGCACAGGGGCTCCGAGTAAATGTCTCGCAGGACCCAGGGTTTTCCGTTTGCAGTTCTTGGAAACCCGTTGGAGTTGCTTATTAGAAAGCGCCGGTGTTTGGCATACGTTGGGTCGGCTTTTTCTGGATGAGCTCATCCTTTTTGCTAGTTTGGGTTGTTTGGGTTAGTCACTGACAGTTTTTGTAGGCCTCCCTCGCGCACTTTTGGAGTCTCGTCGAATTTGGTTTTAACAAACGATAGTAGAGATATGCCGAGGACGACCCAGCAAAAAAGGTTTCCCGAAGCAATGTTTGGCAGGATTTTTTTCCGCCTGTCGACTCAGACCGGCGATTCAGACGTGCCTGTGAAGCAATTTGCACATGACTTATGTTACAACGAGTTCTTTTCGGACGAAGGGTGCAAGACGGTAGCGGCCGCCGATTTACGCCTCAGCCCTGGTGTAGTATTACCAACAAGTTAGAGAGATTGAGATGTGATTGGAGTTTAGGCTAGGGCTAGAGCCCCCTCACCGCACCCACAAAAAACATCTCAAATGATCAATGCTCTCAACAGTGAGAATTCGTTTTTTTCTCGGACCGGAATACCTTTTGCGTCCTTCGATTGGATATGGTACATATCACCGTCCTTGTTATTGGCGCGTCCAATACCGCACAAAACATGCAGGTGCCGGCTGAGCTCGTCGCCGGCTACAGGTCTCGTGGGCATGCCGGAGAACGGTTTCTTGTGCGACTTCTTCGGGTGCTTGGGTATCCTTCCCCTCACGACCGAGAGGTTAGTCCAAGCAAGACCCATGTTCGTCGCCAATTCAGATCATCGACAGTTTGTGACCCACGCTTGAGTCTTGTTGGGTAGCTCTTCCACAACGGTCGCCCGAATGTTTCACGCATGTACACATATGCCGCCCTCGCTTCTCCCCAGCTACCATACGCCGGACCTCCCGAAAGAGATACGTGATTTACTACCTACGCTGCGGATGCGATTGGCATGTTGTTGATCACTCCAACATGAGCGGCCTCCTTGTCCCTCATCCCCACTCCCCATGCTTCCGTGGATTATTCCTATTTTTGTAGCACTGTTCGCAACGCGATGGTGGAGGTCATGATGCGGCAGTGCGGCGGCCAGGTGTACTCCGGAACCGGTGGCTCCGGGATGGAAGGACTGGCCGAGGATGAGGAGAAGGGCTGGCGTGGCGGTGGGGCGTTGGCTCGTCGCCATACTCTACCGGACCATCCAGCCAAGTGCATGATGTGGTGCGCAATCGCGCTGGGGGCGCTCATGAGGGGTGTTCCGGTTGAGCGTGTGAGTCGCGACCAAGTTGCGAGCAGCCGACAACCCGAACGACGTCAAGCAGCATCCCCTTAAAGCAACCCGTCCCGTCCCAACTATTCTATTTATGGTCGAGGGATAAGATGCATGCGTATTCATGTTCCCGCACGACTGGTATTTCCATTCGGGATTGGTACGCCCTGGGTGTGGGTTCTCTCGAAGTCAAGGTCTGCTGCACAGGGTCGGAAATACAGGCACTTGGGAATGAAGAGCCCTTGAGCGCCGATCACGCTTGGTACAAGCGAAGAGTTGCAGCCATCACGAGAAGCCACGTTTCGCGACGGCGGGAAGGACGACTGGCCCCGAAAAATCGACAACAATCACAAGTGGAACCTGAGTGCATACATTATGTGTCTCTGAGGGATGCATTAATCAACCAACCGTGATGATTGCGCATTAGCGGGAGGGTGAAAGCGTCAATCTTGTGGGACACCATGTTCGAATCGGTTAGCACCCTACCTGTAGTCCACAAGAGTGTGTTTGGCCGTTTTCAATTCAAGAAGAATTTTTACAACTGCTCGTACTTTTTTCTCGACAGGTGACGGGGTACGTCCAGTTGGCGCGGGAGTCTCTGGCTGATTGCTTTGACGGGAGAAGCGTCGAACACGCCAGGTGATGAAGACGGGCTGGTGAAAGCAAGAGTTGCGGAGGTTATGTTTCTGTTTGCTTTCTTTCCGCTACTTCCAATTCGGGGTGTGTCATTCTTTCTGTGTGTGGTGTTGATGTTGTTGATGTTAGTGTTGTTGAGGCTGATGTTGGCTTCAAATGAGTCGTTCGCATCTCGCGTTGGTTCTCCCGCCCGTAACTTCCTCCCAACTCCCGCTGCTCATTTCCCTTGGCCTCTTGCTAATGTTGGTCCTCCACTCGTCACTCATACGCCGGCCCGCCGTTGGACGCGCCTCTCAGAGCCTACCTCATCGTGTCCTTCTTGCACCGCGTCATTGGTGATGAGGCAAGTCGTACAACCTACATTCCACGCTCAACCAGCTCAACCAACTCCTTGAATGGAGCGGTTGTCACCGCATGATAGGCTTTTGGTAACGCCCTTGATTACCGCTGAGAACCATTGCTCGTAGGGCCCTTCATGAAGTTCACTCACCACACCTGTTGTCGAGTCCACACCGTCACCGCTCCTCATCGCCGTTCTTCAAGTGGTAGGTGTCTTGTGGTTTGACCTTAGTTTCTCCCTGACCTAACCGGTCAAACTCTTGTTTACCTCTCGTTCCTCCTTGTCGGTGGGCTATCCGCATATCGGTAATTCCTCTGCAGCATTGTGCTATTGACATTCTTCGGTGTGTCCACGCTTGTGCACGTTTCGTTGACGTTCACTCCTCGGTGCACGCTTGTCGTTTGTGCTGCCGATGAGCAGGGAAAGAACGAGCGCTATATGTCTTTGGCCGTGAATATTGCTTCCAAGCTTCGACCAGAGGACGTGCCAAAGGTGACTAGCGCAAGATATGGTGCATGTATGCCACAGTGGGCAGAGGGTGTGTCGTAGAACACATACATAGTTTTCCATCGCATGACCTGTTCATGTTGCCTATGCTGGTGTTGGTGTTGGTGTTGTGCCTGGCGGGCAGGTTACCGTCCGCTCATGCACGCCACTCACACCATCATTGCCAGTGATGATGGGGCATTGCTTGTAGGCTTGACGGCCCTCGGTGCATCGAGCATGATTGATTGTCGGAAGTTGAGGCCCTCCTACCCCGATGGCCATACAGGAACTGTGGCTAATGCTGATGACCACGGACAACTTGAGGGTGTCCGCGTGTAACCCGCAACCAGGGGACGATCTCAGCACTTCCTGCGACGAGGCTCTGGAGCTACCCCAGGTAAGTGAAACAACAGCGGGATCCCCAACAAAATAGTTAATTTCGTGAACCGTTTGCATATGGCCTCTTGCTCGTTTCGTTGGGTCCGTTTGGCCTATTGGTCCTACGTGGGTACGTGTGTGACGGTTTCGCATGTTGGATTTTCAGGGTTTCTGGGTTTGGATGCTAGTCTCCATTGCTGGTGTTTCCCGTGTGTCGTCTTGTGCATGTCATCTCGACGGGTGAACTACTGTGCGACGGCTGGCCGTGTAGACTAGATGCAATCTGTCAGCCATGTCTTTTTCTAGTTCATGACCACAGGGTATGCGCCCGAACTCCACGCTTCGGCGGCCGGTACTGCTTTGTGGCTGTGCCTTCAAATGGTCACACCAAGTCTATTTCAACCCCTCATGCGATTCTTCCCTCGTACGTGCGGTACCACCCGTACAATCGCAACCTGCGCTAGCAGGTGCGGGAGGCTCAACACCCCTTGACGCCGACGGACGTCAGCAACGTGTTCCTTGCGGCGGACAGCCTGCTCAGTCAGGCATTCGTTGCTGACATGACGTCGGCAGGAGCGATTACTGCATCGGGAAGAGGCGCGGCACCCCACGAGGAGAATGGGGAGCCTGCTCTCGGCGACTCCTACCGAGAGCTCGGAGGCGGTGGGGTGATGGAGGAGGGTGGCAAGCAAGTGCGGAGTGCGGGCGTGGCCTGTGATGACGAGGAGCTAGCCAACAGGTTGCACCGTGAACCAGACGTGCCCCCGACGGGACCCGCTATGAAGCGCTTCGCCCGGGAGGCTCTGCCAGAGATGACGAGCTTGGCGAAGACGCTGGAAAGGTGGGTGACGGTGACATGGCCGTCAACCGCTGCGAGAGCTCATTGCTTCCGTGGATGGATTGGCGATGAGCAGGTTGGCTCATCACTTTTGGCGCAAGCTCAAACAAGCCCGAAGCACCATGTCGCACTGGCACCGCCTAGGTTCGAACAAGCCCTCGTGTATGGGTCGTTTACCATGGTGGCCATGGTGGGTTGAGCCTGCCGGTACGACACTCACCGCTATGCCTTCCAGCACATTGTCAAACAAGCGAACCATTTCCCGCGCTGGGTATCTTTTCAGAGAACTCTCTCGTTGTTTACGTGAGCGACAAAATAAAACAGCATGTCCTTTGAATAGGTTTGGTCCGTGTAGCTTTTCAACCAACGTCGGCTGATGCGATTTTACCTGCGCCCACACTTGCTTTTTGCGCCCTGTGCTCCCCGGCACACGGACTGCACAATCCGTGCCGTTGCTCCCGTCGCTGCCGTGGTTGTAATCTTGCTGCTATTGGAACCTTCGGGCTACCAGTTCCGACACGTGCTCGGGCGTCGGTGGTGTTCTCTATCACGGGAGAGTGAGTGGGGGCCGTCGGTTGAAATCCTCGACGGACAGCATTCCGGCGTTTCCAAGAGCATTTACCGTGGCTGCGTGCGAACAACACCCCTTCTGCTTGTTTCATTAGCTGCTGTTCTTGGGTTCGGCTACGGCTCGTTCATGGCTTATGTGCCAACCTTTACACAGGCGCCAGCTCCGTCCATCCGTAGACACTAGGACCCCCTTCATGTGCTACACTGCCCGAAATGCTCGCCCGTGTGTCCTTCGTTTATTGCGCGTGCGCGTGTGCTCCAACCCTTGGGCTTCTCGCATTCGCATCGCCCCTCCTTGCCGTCCCCTCCGCAGCAACGTGGCCTACATGCGGGCTGTTGCCGGCGAGCTGGTCAAGGCGTTCGAGTCTCTCGAGGCCTGCGTAGACGTAGTGCTGCGCTACCCCGGCCTCGTCCGTTTCAGGCGTGTTGACACCCTGTCATTCCTTTGTCGTGGTATTCCCCTGTGTTGTACGCGCGAACGATGAGGGGTTGGCGCGCTCTCCAGTCGATTGTTCGCCTGATTGTCGCGCGTGTGCCTTTGGTTGGTTTGTCTTGTGTGGATGTCGGCAGTGTTTGGGTGCGCTTGCCCACTTCCCGACGAACAATCGAGAGTGTTTGCCATCGTGACACGCGCGAGATGATGTGGTAATGCTTTCGGTCCCCGCTACACCGGCTTATGAGCGACTGTCGTTGTAACGTAGCGGTAGGTACGTAATAAAGCCTACTGTACCCGTTATTTGTTCGTGAGGGTGTCATGTGTCTCGCCGTGGCGCACCACTTGCCTCCATTTTGTGCGTGCTTTCTCTCGCCAATATGTTTAGCTACACCGCAATATTGTTGTCTGCGGTGATCCATGATTTCCCGCAGGTCTCATTTGATACACTGCATGCTCGCTGCGAGCCACTTTTTCAATCGGCGAGACATGTACGACGCCATGAGGGGGGTGTACAACTCCGTGGGTCCGATGGGGTATCCACAAGTTCCACCCTACGAAGAATGGAGGACGATTCGTCAGGTCTGCCCCCACATCTTATGCAGGTATGGCTGACCATGTGCACGATTGTGAACCGTACAGTTGCTGTTTGCTCAACAGGCACCTGGTGCTGTAGACAAGGATCCGGTTGCTGTGACTGCCTATTGCGCCCATTCAGTGCTTGTGATTTCGTGTCATTCGGTTGCCCATCACACGGACACAATGATGGCCGCCACGCCTCTGCTGACACCCTTTGCTCCCTGCGATGTTTGTTTAAGTCTACCTGTGACTTCCAGCCCGCATGGATTCAGTTTTCGTACTGACCTATTGCCTCCCCGGTGTTCTAATGTATTCGGTGTTTTCCGGCGGATTCGCCCACACTCTTTTGTCGCCCCGGTTAAAAGATCGATGGAGGTGGAACGTCTCCAACGGTATGGCGAGGGACCTGTACAGACAAACGCCGCTTCTGAGGAACTGGTGATGTCTGAAGCTTTATCCGGCTCGATTACGTCTCCCCTCAGCGGAGCGGACACTAAGAGCAGTGGCGCGCCCCCAGGAGGGCTGGCAAGCGAGGAGCAGGGGTCGCTAGCGCCGACGAGAGCCATAGGTGGCACTGCCGTGTCATCACCGCTCCCCGAATTTTCGCACACCTTGGCAACATTCGTGCCAGACGGCGGTAGGAACGACGATGCGGCTGCTAGAGACATGCCGTTGCAACCTGGGCTGGTGGCGACTGCCATGCCCATCCCGGAGCCGGTATACTCTGCAAAGGGTGAAGCCGGCGGTGTTCGGCGTGCCGACTGGTCGGGTGCGGCCGCTACCGGCGGGCAGCCGCGCAGTGGCACTGGCGCTCGCGCTCCAGACAGCCCAAAGATCGGGTTCGAGTGGTGGGGAGGAGACGTGGTGTCAGGGGAGGCGGAGATGAACATGACTGACGCGGATCTGTTGGATATCGCGGCAGTGTTCGCGAATGACGAGGGGCTTCTGGAAGAG